AAGATACTGTTAAAGACAATTATCTTAATCAAATACATTTAGCAGGAATAATAAGCCTGATTACAATAGGAAAAATTCAAGACTACTTACCGAACCTATTTTTAGTCCCATAATAATTGCCAAAATGATCAAGGTATTAAGTTCTAAGTAGAGCCCCAGTGGCAGGCTTTAAAGTAAAATGTCACCAATATCAATCAGCCCACTTCAATAGTAGCTGTGACAGTAAAACTTTCGATTCACTGACACAATCCAGTCTTCCTGTGCCCTGATTTCAATCAGTATAGTGTACATGCGCAACAACACCACATCTGTTTAACGCAGGAAAAACTCCAAAGGTAAATCCTCTGTAGCATATACAAATATAGGTATCAGAGTAATTGTTCTCCTAATTTTTTTCTTCTACTCCTCTCATTAACGTCCGTCAAACAAGAATAAATGTGCTAGTGAAATGTGTTGACGATGCAAAACAGGAGATGTTGTTGAAACAAATGTAAACAGAATGGCATACTGGAAGATGTGGTGACTCTGAGGACTGGAATATAAGGAGAAGGATGTAAAGCAGCAGCCTGAGATACAAGGTCACTCCAGCAGTAGCAAGATGAAGAAGAATACGGACTGCTGTAAATGTCAGTTGTCAGAATGAATATGAGGCAGACCTATATGCCTGGCTCAATCAAAAGGTATCTATGAACCACCAACGTATTTTAGCCATGAAAAGAAGTATGGGAAATTCTGAGTATTTCCAACAGGGAATTTCTAGTGTCCTGGAGAAACCTCATTTACAACACTAATGGCTCCTCCAATCCTGGCATGAACTGATTCGAGGAAAGTAACTTGAATGAGGTAAGCAACTGAAAGCTTCTTATGAGAGATGGATAAAAGTTTACCAAAATGTAGGCTAAGAGGGGTTAGGATGCTTCATTTAATTAAAACAGATTGCATATTATTTGACTTTTCTCCCTGCCAAAGATGAGTTCTCTGCAATAGCACAACAGCTGCCAGTGCCAGAATATATGACAGATCTCTCTAATACCCTCCAACCCTCCAATTATTTTCAGCTCAGGAACTTTCCAGCTTGATGAGGATTATCAATTATCTGTGTTCAATAAATTTCCCTTCCATGAATTTCCCCAGTCTCCTCTGAACTCATATAAACTCCCGGCCTTCATATCCTAACTCCTTGATCTATTTTCAACCTGTAACCTTACCATCAGTTGACGTGCTGATTTACGCACAGCAGTTATCACCCAAACAGGGACAGGTTCTCTTGGTGTAAGAGCATCTGAAAACATTTGATTGGCTGAAGACCATTGGGAGCCTCACAGAAGTCATTACAGAATCTCAGAAGAGAAGACAGTCATGGTATCTCATCAATCAAGCAAGGTTGAAGGCCTGGACCATGGTGAAGATTTGTACGTATCTACAACATCAGAGCAACAGAGTATCCAAGTAGCTCTGTTGATCCTCAAAATATTTTCCAACAACACTATTGTGACCAGGAGCAACGACTATCCTCACAAATAGTTAACACTATAGCCAGAGAGGACAGCAAAACTAGTTAATAGCTTAAATACTCATGCCTATTGACTGTATACCTAACACAAGCTTCAAGGAGGCAAACTGGAAAAACAGAAGGCTCCTACTCTGCAAAGGTTGTGAGAAAGCACGCACAAGGGGAACAGCTGCACAAGGCACACTGAGCCAATGAAATGCATCCCTCCTCTGCTCCTGCATGAGCCCTACTGGGCTGTGACATGCATACAGCCCCCATCAAGGAACCAAGCTAAATCCGCCCACCCTCCTAAAGACAATAAATAAATAAGTAAGTAAATAAAATAAAACCAGCACCGCAAAAGGCTGGATCGTTTTCCACAGTTTTATCTGGCAGGAACAAAGCACCAAGCAGAGGAAGAGGAATAAAGCCCATCCATCCCTCAACTCACTGCAGCCAAACCTCCACAGCCACCGCAGACATCTGTGCTAGACCTGCCCTTAGACCAAACAGAAGGAAATCCACCGTCAGCAACAACGCCAACATCCAGTTCAAAGTTCAGGAGCTTTAAAAAAGCATTGGGCCTCCCTGCAGAGGGATTAGAGCCTTATCTAAATGATGGGAGTAGTGCAGTGTATTGCTATTTACCTGGACCCACCAAACAGGAAAGTGCAAGCAGGGTGATTGCTGCAACCTTCTGACAAGGTGCTTTTGCATCTCTGTGTTCTTCACATGTATTAAAATCAGCTGTGTCCTTATACAGAAAGCCAAAATTCCCACTGGTATCCTGGTCTTTGGGTTCACTGGACAGAAAGAAGTATGCTCAACTTATTTCATCTCCGTTTTTTATTACGTTTTCCAATTATCTCCATCTCTGGACACAAGTTGTCAAACAGTCTGATGTCAAGGGTCATGGCCCAAACTGATTTAAAAAAACGCATTCCACCCCACATTGGTTTGCAAAATTTATTCCATTTTTTGTGTACTACTCAATGCTTTCCTACACCACAGGAAGTATTCTAACAGCATGCAGTGAAGTGCATCCTTACAATAATTATAGCATCCCTTAATATTTCCATTATATTTTATTATCCATACCCTCTAAGCACGCGCACATAGATTATCCTTGTTTTATAGATGAGGAAGCAAACTGCACCACAGGCAGTCCCTCAGCAAGTCAGCATGAGAGGCAGAACGCCCTGCTCAGGGGGTCATCATATTTTTATAGGAAATTAAACAAACTGGAATTTCAGCTGGTCAGCACTTACTTGAAAACAGTGCACCTCTGTGAGCAACATTCCTGGTGAAACCAGCTGGACAAATAAAGCTCCCAGCTTGGTGTTTGAACAAACAAAAAAGCACAAAGAAAAAGTCACTGGAGACTAAGTTCAGACTGAAATTTTGAAGGAGGGGGAAATGGTGATTTCATGAGCAAATGGCACCAAACACTGAATTTGGATTCACCTGAAATACATTGTTAAGCTGGAATTGAGAGATCTTTGTTTCATATTTGTTTTAACCAACCTTTCCATAATCATATTTTAAGGCTTTTTCAACGTGATAGCCATGTTTAAAAGTATACACTAGGACACCTCAGCAGACACCTGCAGGAATTCCAGCTGGATCCTGGGGAAAGGCAGAACCCTGCAGACCAGGAGGTGGCAGAGCAGGCAGTCCCCTCGTCACATAGCGCTAAGTCACTGGCACGGCATCTCCACATAGCATTGCCCACTGGCCCTAGAGCTGCTGGGTTGACTCCTGACCAGCTCACAGCCTCTCTCCAGCCATCTCCCTGCCTAGGTGGACAGGTCAAGAATAACTCTGCAAGACAAAGCACAGAGTATACCACCATGATGCAAGACCACATATGAAAACAGCACTGAATCTTTTTCTCTCTCTGTGCAAAACACAGCACATCTGCTCGTATGGGCAGAGCCTCAGCTGTCAGGAAGCAAGATAGGACCAAGACTTCAGCAAAGACTATCAAGGAACTGTGTGACCTAGAAGCCACCCTGCGTTCTCACCAGGGCGTGAACTTGCCAACTCCAAATATTTACATAGTAAGTACTCACAGTAGAATCATACAATCATTAGGGTTGGAAAAGACCTCTAAGGTCACCTTGTCCAGCCATCAGCTGATCACCATCGAGCACATTGAGCCACATCTGCCCTTATCATGTTTATTAAATGCTTTCAATACCCATGAAGAACAACCACAATGATGGACCTGAGCCTGCTTTGCACAGCACATCGCTGAAGTGCCGTGAATCACCTATACCAAAACTGCATTTAGACATACTCCAAATGAGCCAGACAGCTGTCCTGAGATGCTCTTTGCCTCCTCACAGGAGGCTCAGCCCGCTGTTCCTGCAGTGTGCTTTAGAGGTGGAATAAATCAAATTCATTTCAGAATCCAGAAAATGTCTTATCTTCACTAGAAGATGGATACCTATCATAAACACTCTGCTAAGGCAAAGGAGGCTTGGCCATTGACAACGGACTAAATCCCCTTAGCCCTGCCTTGGATGGGCAGTTGCCAGGTGGATTACAATTTAACCTGAGCAATAAAAATCATCGGTAACCTCCACACAGACTGGTCTTTATTCTGCATGTCAGACTCACTTCAGAAAAAACCTCACTCTCAAACAGGGCTCTGAATCAAAACACCACTCACAAATAGCCATTTTGCCATAAACTGTGTGCTATCTTAACCCTACTTATCTTCCTCACGTGTGTATCTTCTAACAACAAAGCAGGAAGTTTCCCTTGAAATTCACTCTGCTATATCTCACAATATCCTCGTGTGTGTACTCACATGGGTAGAGCACCACAACACTGACCTGGGTACAGACACACACTGAGCACAGAGCTGTGGGTCAACGCATCGCAGCCACACAGCAGCTCACCCCATTTGCTGCACGGACGAAGCTAGCCCTCTCATTTTGGCTGTGGGATGACGGGGCTGAGGCCAGGTTCGGCCTGTCAGTGAATTTTCTGTGACTTGGCAGCAGTGCCCCCCACATACAGCTTCAAGGAGTGAGAGGTTCTCGTGGCGGCTCCCAGACGTGGAGGCCACGCCGTGCATTGCCAGGGCGCTGAACGCGCCAAGCCGGTCTACTGAGGCCGTGCTATGAGCCATCCCCGAGCCCAGAGTGTCACGGCAGGGATCTCTGCAGGCTTCCCCGCCCCACAGCCTCACTCTCCGTCGGAGACGCGGACGGCGCCACGAAGCCGCTCGCTCCAGCTTCAAGAGCTCGAGGCCGCGCTGAACTTCACGGCTCCGGTCCCCAAGCGTGCCCGCGGAGAGGACGAGGAGGGCCGAGCACGGAGCCCAGGGCACGGCCGGCGCCCACCCACGGCGCTGCTCGATGCTCACCGAGGGTCGCCCCGCGGGCACCTCCTCCCGGGGGCCGCCCGCCTCCCCGCTGCCCCGCTCCGGGCACCGCCCCGCCCGCCTGCGCGATCCCCGCCGCGGCGGCCGCTGCCCGCGGGCTGCCCGCGCACTCACCCGCTGCCCGGCGGCGGCCGCGCTCTTCCTCCGCAGCGTCAGCCCGCTCCGCAGCAGCGCCGGCAGCTCCCGCAGCTTCTGCCGCAGCTGCACCGGCGGCGGCTCGGGAGCTCCGCCGCCGGGGCTCCAGCTGCGGGCCGGCTCCGCGCCCTCACACGGCGGCGGCATCTTCGCGGAGCCCACAGCCATGCCGCATCCCGGCCGCGCTCTGCCG